TCTGGTGATTGTGACAGGCCAGGCTCTAGGTTCTTTTACCTGTGGTATTTTCACTGGGTATATCAGAATTTCTGCACTGACATGTGTTTATTTATCTAACTTGGTCAAGTAATGATTTCTTTCTGCACTGTTGCAGGTCTTTGGCAAATATCTCCATCACATTCGGACAGGTGAGTCCTGAAATCTACAGTCATCATGTGCCCAATTAACCATTATCTCCCCTGACCCTTGCACACCCCACAGCACGTTCTGCCTCATCATGATACAACACCTAGAGGCCAGCCTCTCCTGTACTCCGTCTCCATTACCTCCCCGGCCAGCTTGTTGCCACATTCTCACACCGGTGCCACTTGTCCATTATTCCATTCTAATCCCAGCCAGGCTCTCTGCAACTTAAATCACCCATCAGCTCTCTGCGTGCACTCCATCCCACAACCTCCTTCTTCACTCCACCTTAAGCTGCAACACTATACCCCCAGTACACTGTCCCTTGCCGACTAGTCTCTCTCCACACTTCCCCCCATCAGACCCTCTCCCGACTCTGGTCTGCCCTCTCCTACTGAGGCCAGGTATTCACTCTCCCCAAAACACTTGCAGCCTCCCAAACTCCCTGAACACTGTCACTGCTCCCGTTCATTCCCCCAGTCCCACTAGCACCATTGCCAATACTTGCACCTACCTGGTATGTTTGCATGGGTGAGAACCTCCCCGACTGAGCAACCCTTATCCCTTTCTTTCTTTTACCAGGTCATTCGTGGGATGAGCTCTGGAAGCCGTGTGTTTGAGTTCCTCATATTGCAATCGAACATCCCACTTAAAGGGGGATTCCAGATTCCATCACATGCTCTGGTTGGACAGGTGCAATTCGACAATATTGACTTCAGGTCTGTGAGAGCCAAATGAGTTGAACAGTCGAGGTGTACTGTGATTAGAAATTGTCCCTCCAATCTGGGGAAGGGTTAAATCATCATAGGTCCTCACTTGGTCAATTAGACAGGAAGACCTTGCTTAATATTATTAATTGATTCCTGGAAACACGGGTTAGACGAGAGTCACTTTGAGACTCATGACCTCCCTCCAGTGATTGGCTGCTACACATCACAGCTGAGACTTGTTTTGACAGGACAAGTTCTCCAGGAATGCCCAGTGCACAGGGAAGTTAATAATCTAAATACCAACACCACCATGTGAATGCAGAGTTCTCAGTGAATTGCAGCAATAACATTACATGATGTTGAGTACCACATGTTAAGTGAGAATTTGCTGCAGAGAGTAACTGTCTCTCTACTCTTTTAAACTGAAAGTAAAGCTCACTTGACACGGTCCTCATCAAAGACTCGCAGGACAGGTACAGCAAGAGGTTAGATACAGAGTAAAGCTCTGTCTATGCTGTCCCAAACAAATACACCCAGGACAGGCACAGTACAAGGTTAGAAAATAAAACTTCCTCTACTCTTTTTAAACTAATTTGACATGAGGCAAAGTCCAGTCAGATATAGAAGGAATGCTAGGACAGGCCAGTAGGCAGAGAAAACATGGGCTGGATAAGACAAATGGGAAGACCAGAAAGCCAATCTGTTTTAATTCAAGGAACTTGATTGTTAAGGTGGTTGAATTTAGAGCATTGATCAGCATGCGGGAATATGATATTGTTGCAGTCACTGAGACATGGTTGAAGGTAGGACAGGAGAGCTATTTGTGCCAGTGCGTAGATAGTTCTATTAGAGATGTGACAGGAATAGACCTAATTCTGGGAATGAAGCAGCCAAGTGGTTAAAGTTCCAGTGAGTGAGCATTTTGGGAATAGTGATCATAACAAGGGGCGGCACAATGGCTCAGTGGTTAGTACTGCTGCCTCACAGCGCCAGAGACCCGGGTTTGATTCCACCCTCGGGTGACTGTCTGTGTGGAGTTTGCACATTCTCCCCATGTCTGCGTGGGTTTCCTCCGGGTGCTCCGGTTTCCTCCCACAGTCCAAAGATGTGCAGGCTAGGTGGATTGGCCATTGTTAAATTGCCCGTAGTGTTCAGGGGTGTGTAGATTAGGTGGGTTATCAGGAGATGGGTCTGGGTGGGATGCTCCAAGGGTCGGTGTGGACTTGTTGGGCCTGTTTCCACATGGTAGGGATTCTATGATCTATGATGTTTCTATAACACTTAAATTTCAAAGTCATTATGGAAAGGGATCAGGATAGTGCAGAAGTTAAGTGTCTAAATTGGGAAAGACCAATTTCAATATCATTATACAGGATCTAGCAAACAGACTGGGAGCAATTACTTGCAGGTAAGTCCACATTCGGAAGGTGGAAGCCTTTTAAAAGTAGTACAGTGAAAATTCAGGGCCAGCATGTTTCCCTAGGAGTGAAGGGTTAGGTAAGCAAGTCGAAGGAAACCTGGATGTCAAGAGATTTCAAAGGGTTTGATAAAGAAAAGAAAGGAAATATATGTCAGGTACATGGCATTATAAACAGGGGAGGCTGTTCAAAAAAATAGAAGGTTAGGGGGTTGCTTAAAAAAGAAACTGACGGTAAAGAGGGACCATGAAATATCTTTCGCAGATAGGATTAAAGAAAACCCCCAAGGTATTTTTATTAAAGAATAAGGGAATTACCAGGGAAAGTGTGGTAGCTATTGAAGACCAAAGGGGCAACCTGTGTGTGGAGCCAGTGGACATTGATGAGGTCCTAAATGAATACTTCTCATCTATATGCAGTCAGGCGGAAGACATAATAGCTGGAGATTTCAGTAGGGATGGTGAGGTTCTAGAACATGTTAAGATTAATAAGGCAGAGGTATTGCATGTTTTAACAGGCATAAAGGTGCATAAATCCCCACGGCCTGATGAGATGTATCCCAGGCTGCTATGGGAGGCAAAGAAAGAGATTGCTGGGGCCCTAACGGAGATATTTATTTGCTAGCCACAGATGATTAGAGGATGGTTAATGCGGTTCAATTGTTCAAGAAAACCAGCAGGGATAGGGCAAGTAATTACATACCAGTTAGTCTGATGTCAGTTGTTGGGAAATTATTGGGAGAAAGTTTAAGAGGGACAGGATTAACCAACACTTGGGAATGCAGGGATTGGTCGGGGTGGATTTGTTTGGAGGAGATCCTATCTGACTAATTTAAGTTTGAAGAAGTCACTAAACAATTTGGTGAGGGTAGTGCAGTTGCTATGATTTACTTGGACTTCAGTAAGGCCTTTGACAAGGATCCATATGGAATGCTGATCCAAAAGGTAAGAGCCCTTCGGATTTAAGATAAGTTGGCAAACTGGATCAAAATTGACTTACAAATATGAGGTAAAGAGTGGTTGTGGAAGGTTAATTTTTGTGATGGAAGCCTGTGAACAGTGGTGTACCACAGGGATTGATGCTAGGACCCTTGCTATTTGTTATGTACGTTTCATTTGAATGTGAATGTAGGAGGAATAATTAGTAAGTTTGCAAATGACACGAAAATTGGTGGTGTTGATGGCAGTGAGGAGAATGGTCTCAGGCTACAGTCTGATTGATCAGCTGGTAAATTGGGCAGAGCAATGGCAGATGGAATTTAATCTTGATAAGTGTGAGGTGATTTATTCTTGGAGGAAATGACACACAATGAATGGTAGGGAGTACTGAAGAACAAAGGTATTGGTGTACAAGTCCATAGGTCTCTGAAGGTATCAACGTAGGCAGACAAGGGAGTGAAAAAGGCATAGGGGTGCTTGCCTTTATTAGCGAGGGCATAGAATAAAGGAGCGAGGAAGTCTTGTTACAACTTTATAAAACATTGGAATTCTGTGTGCAGTACTGGCCACCACACTGTTGGAAGGGCATGATTGCACTGGAGAGGGGGCAGAGGAGATTCACCAGGATGTTGCCTTGGATGAAAAGTCTCAGTTATGTGGAGAGACTGGATAGGCTGGGTTTGTTTTCCTTGCAGCAGAGGAAGCTGAAGGGGGAATATGATTGAGGTATACAAAATTGAGAGGCATAGATTCTGTAGGGTCATGAGAATCATTTCCCCATGGCAAATACGTCTAAGACCAGAGGGCATAAGCTTAAGATGAGGAGGAAGTGGTTTAGAGAAGATCTGAGAATTTTTTTCACCTACATAGGCAGAAATATGGAAGGTGTTGCCTGAGAGGCTATTGGAGGCAGGTACTCTCACAACCTTTAAGAAACATCTGGATGAGTACTTAAAATACCAGGGTGTAGTGGGCTACGGACCAAGTGCAGGTAAATGGGAATAGTGTAGTTTGGTGATCAGCATAAACATGCTGTGACTAAAGCTCCCTCTACACTTTTAAAGTGCAAGTAAAACTTCCTGTACACTGTCCCCATGAAAGTCCCCCAGATCAGGTGCAACATGAGGTGAGATACAAAGTACAGCTCCCTCTACTCTTTTTTTTTTAAACCTAAAGTATGGATCCCGTGACACTGATCCATCAACACTCGCTGGACAGGTAGAGTGGACTTCAATCTCCAGTGGTCTGCCTCCACCCCATACCTTCCTGTGATATATTTCATATAGTAACCTAATCATTTGATACCATAGTTTTGTCACAAAATGCTAGTTTGTGTCCCATTTCCCACATTTGTGACATTTCTCTTTCTTCCCTTAGCTACCCCACCAGACCTGGTCAGGTGGTGCTGCGCAACTTCAATCTTACCCTGCCGGCCTCTAAAATGGTGGCTATTGTTGGACAATCTGGGGCAGGTAAGGACAGAGTGGCACATTTCTGATCTTAATATCTGTGGAATGCACAGCACAGTTTATGGGTCTTTGTTAGTGACATACTTTGGATGATTAAACATACACACATACGATTTAAGAGCAGGAGTAGGCCATTCAGCTGTGTCAGCTGCTGTGTAATACAATGTGATCATGGCTGATCTGAATCTGGCCGCAGCTCCACTTTCCTGCCTGTCCCCTATATCCTTTGGCTCCCTTGAAATATAATGGAAAACCAGATCTGGAAAAGTCAGCTAGGAAATAGCAAGTTGTTCTAGTCTGCCCTATACGTTAGTGATTCTTTACAGGTAATGAATTTTAATTCATTCATGGGAAGTGGACCACGTTGATTGGGCCAGCATTTATTGCCCATCCCTGGTGAGCTGCCTTTTTGAGCAATCTTTGTGTTGTGGGTTGACCCACAATGCCTTTAGGGAAGGAAGTTCAGGATTTTGACCCAGTGACACTGAAGGAACAGTGATGTATTTCCAAGTCAGGGTGGTGAGTGATTAGGAGGGGAGTTTGCAAGTGGTGTTGGACTATGGCGATTTCAACTTTACCTTTTACCTTGTTCTTTAGATTGTGTGTTTGGAAGGTGTTGTCTAAGGAGCCGTGGTGAGCGACTACAGTGCATCTTGTAGATGGTACACACTGCTGCAACTGTACATTGGTGGTGAGAGAATAAGAGGGTATGTTGTCAAGCTTCTTAAGTGTTGATGGAGCTACATCCATTCAGGCAAGTGGGGAGTATTCCATCACACTCTTGACATGTGCCTAGTAGATGGTGGACAGGCTTTGAGAATCAGGAGGTGAGTTATTCACTGTAGGATTCTTCAGCTCTGACCTGTTCTCGTAATCACAGTACTCCCGCCACTAACAGTCATGTCATCTCCTGAATGAGATGCATAATTAACAAAAACGCAGCCAATCAAATTAGTGCAATTACCTTTGCCATGCTCCTAGACACTTCACCTATTAGATTGATTAATATCAGTGTTATGTGGCAGCTTCCTCTTGCACGATGTAATCTCAGCTCGAGATGGGAATGAATATATCTCTGTTTTGTGTATAGCAATCAGTCTGCGGAGGATGGGAGGTTAGCTGTTTTAAAACTGTTTCGTAACCTGTAACTAAAATGCTTTGAAGGCAAGTCGACAATAGCATCTCTGCTGGAGAGGTTCTATGACCCAGACAATGGAATTATCACCTTAGACGGATATGACATCAGGACTCTGGATCCACAATGGCTGCGCAGTCACGTGATTGGATATATCAGTCAGGTTAGCAGTTCCCCATTTTACACTCGCCCCACTGCCTATTCTCTACATCCAGGCCTTTTTTAAATACCAGCCTTCTCCTGATCTCCCCACACCCTTCCTGCTTTTCCTTTTTCCTTCCCCTTTCCTTCAATCTTTCCTCTTCCCTCCCACCCTTTCATCTGCACCTTTGTAAATCTTCCTTCTCCCTCATTAGTTATTTGCTGATGTGGTGATGATTAAGAGTCTGAGTTGTTGTCTCTGTTTATTTGGTTGTTAATGTTCCTCACACTAACTCAGGTGGAGTAGTTGTACCCCATAGGGTTGATGTTTTCTCAGCCATGTGTATGGATTTGCAGGAACCTGTGCTTTTTGGCACCACCATCAAGGAAAATATTCGATTTGGAAAGCCAGATGCCTCAGATGAGGAGGTTTATGAGGCAGCTCGGCAGGCAAATGCAGATGGCTTCATCCAGAGCTTCCCAGATGGATACATGACCGTAGTGGGTATGTGTCACAGTGAATCTTAAAACAGTTGTGGATGGAGTATGGACCAAAAACACAACAAGCAAGCCTCAAATCATCACACTCGGGGAACATATCTTAAATCATCATCACACTCGGGGAACATACGTATGATTTGATTTGATTTGTCACATGTACCTACATACAGTGAAAAGTTTTATTTCGCAAGCAATACAGGCAGATCATAACATACAAGGACATACAATCCTAGAGTGTTTAGACAGACCAATACATACAAGGTTATGGCTGCGTAGGAGGTGCACAAAAGCAAGATCAACGTTAGATTTCAAATTAGAGAAGTCCATTCTTCAGTCTAATAACAACAAGGAAGAAGCTGTTCTTGAACCTGTTGGTCCATGTGTTTAAGCTTTTGTATCTTCTGTCTGATGGAAGAGAATATTCCCAGGGTGGGAGGGGTCTCTGCTGATGTTGGCAGCCTTTCTGTAGCAACGGAAATTGTAGATGGAGTCCATGGATGGGAGGTTGGCTTTTGTGATGGTCTGGGCTGTGTACACAACTTCCTGCAGTTTCTTATGGTCCTGGGCAGAGCAGTTGCTGTACCAAGCCATTATGTGCCCAGATAAAATGCTTTCTTTGGTGTATCTGTAAAAATTGGTGAGTGTCCTTATGGACATGCCCAATTTCCTAAGCCTCCTGAGGATGAAGATCATCACATCATCACACTAAATGAACACACCTTAAATCATCATTGTACTTGGGGAACACACATCAAATTAAAATTATACTCACCTCAAATATCTGATTAGTTTTATTGTGATGCATGTGGAAGCATTAAATTGGCACTTTCAAATGCGAGGGAAGGACATAATCATAGTGAATGCGGAGATTAATAAACACATTTACTAATAGTCTCAATTTATTGGTCAGGTGAACGAGGAATGTCTCTGTCCGGGGGCCAGAGACAGCGGATTGCCATTGCTCGTGCTCTGGTTAAAAATCCCTGTATCCTGGTGCTGGATGAGGCCACAAGTGCTCTGGATGCAGAATCTGAGAGAATGGTACAGGATGCACTGGATCATATACAAAAAGGCCGTACCGTGCTGGTCATTGCACATAGGCTGAGTTCAATCAAGGCAGCTGACGTCATCTGTGTTCTTGCTAATGGCCGCACGAAGGAGGTGAGTTGCATTTGCCCCCCTTGATCTGTAGCTGGGGGACAGACAAAGGCTGTTCAGCCCATTGAGTCCGTGCCAGTCAAAATCAACCATCTAACTATGCTTAATCCCTTTTTCCAGCACTTGGTCTATGGCCTTGTATGCCTTGGCATTGCAAGTGTACATCTAAGTATTTCAATGTTATGTGAGTTTCTGCGCCCCTACCATTCTTACAGGCAGGAAGTTCCAGACTCTCACTACCCTCTGAGTGAGAGTTTTTTTATTCACATCATTTCTAAACCTACTCGTTACCTTAAATCTATGCCCCTAGTCATTGAACCCTCCATCAATGGAAAAAGTTCCTTCCTGTCTACCCTATCAATGTCCTTCATAATTTTATACATCTCAATCATGTTCCCTCCCAATCTCCTTTGCTCCAAGGAAAACAACCCCAGTCTGTCTTCATAACTAAAACTCTGCAGTCCAGGCAACATTTTAGTAAATGCCCTCTGCACCCTCTCCAGTGCTATCACATTCTTTGTATAATGTGGATTCCAAAACTGCACACAATACTCTTGCTGTGACATAACCAAAATTTTATATAGTTCTAGTAACCACCAGCAATTCCTAACCAAGCAGCATGTCAGCACATGAACTGGAATTGGCAAAACCAGTCCTGGCAAACTGTGTATATCTTAGCAAGAACCTTCAATCCCAGGAAAACTGCATTAAAAATGGTCTCAGTGACAGGGCGACTTTCCAGTGAAATGACCAAGCAGTTGCAGAACATAAATCCAGAGGAGACTGAGGTGGATAGTGTAGGCGTAGATATGCTCACGAGAGAGGAATTTTTGAGGGATATAGGAAAGAGGTGGATTGTTCCAAGGTTGAGGAATTAAGGAATATTGCAGATGAGGTGCGTAAACAGGTTTGGATGTGAGATGAAAGTGGATGGGGATGCAAGAGATACGTGGAGAGGTTGGGTTTGTGGCATTGAGGTGTATGGGGAAAGGGTGGGTAGATGAGGATTGAGGGAAATGTGATCATACGTTAGAACAATCAAATTAAGAGTAGAAGTAGGCCATTCACATCTTCAAATCTATTTTGGCGTTCAAACGATTGTGGGAATCTTTTTATGTTCTGAATTTTACATTCCTATTGACACCTGACAACCCTTGATTTCCCCTGTTTAACAAGATTTTAGCTACCTCCATCTTTAAAAATATTCAATGACACCCCTCCTGAGGCAGATCGTTTCAGGGGCGAACAGCTCTCTTGTTTCTATTTTCAAAGGCAACCTCTAATTTTAAAACCGTGCCCCCTAGTTTTGGACTCCCACAGGAAACATCCCTTTCCACATCCACCTCATCAAGACCATTCAGGGTCTTCCTTCGTCAATCAAAATATCCCTTGTGCTTCTAAATTCCAGTGAAAACAAACCTAGCATATCCAATTACTCCCAGGGAGAGGTGATGGGACGTTGGTATTGTCACTGGACTAGCAATCCAGATGCCCAGGAAATGTTCCAAGGACTGTGTTTGAATCTCACCACAGCAAGTCTAGAATTAAAAGTCTAATGATGACAATGAAACAATTGTTAATTGTCAGATAAACCCATCTGGTTCACTATTCTTTTTTTTTTTTGGGAAGGAAAAACTGCCATTCTTACCTGGTCTGTCTTAGCCTACATGTAACTCTAGGCCCACAGCACTGCCCTCTGAAATAGCCTAGCAAGCCAGTGTATCAAAATCTCTCCACAGATATCGCCCGATTTGCAGTGCAATCTGTTTCAGATTTCCAGCATCCATGGTATGTTGCTTTTATTCCACAAGTGTATCCACAAGTTGTATTTGTCATATCAACTGCTAGACAATCACAAAATCTGGTATCCACTCAAGTGACAGAAATGACAATGGCAGAGACTGCCCTGTCAACCCAAAGTATCTCTCACTAATAGCTGGTCTCACAGAATAGTCAAGCAATAGCTTCATGTAGTCATACTCATGGTATCATTCTTTACAGACAATGTCCCACCAACAGCACAGACCCAGCACCAGCAGAGGTAGCAGTGGTACACAGTCGGGAGGAAGCTGCCTTATGAGACCCCAGCATAGACCTGCTGTGGCACCAGGTCAAACAGGAGCAAGAAAACTTTCTTCTGATTATCATGCAGTGTCACTCTTGACTGATGCATTGACACTCCTCCATGTTGAACAACACTTGGAGAAAGCACTGAGAGTGGCAAAGGCACAAAACAAACTCTGGTTGGGGGATCTCAATGTCCTACACCAAGAGTAAATTGGCAGCAGTACCACTGATTGAGCTGCTCGGGTCCTAAGGACGTAGCTGTTAGACTGGGTCTGCAGCAGGTGGTAAGGGAGCCCACCAAAGGGAAAAACATATTGACCTATGCCTCAGTAATCTATTCATGACAGCATTGGTAAGAGTGACCATCGCACAGTCTTTGTGGAGACAAAATCCCGCGTTTGCATTGAAAATAACCTCCATCGTGCTGTGTGGCACTATCACCGTGTTAAATGGGACAGACTTTGCACAGATCTAGCAACTCAAGACTGGGGCATCCATGAGGTGTATTGGGCCATCAGCAGCAGCAGAATTGTACAGAATTTGCAAACTCATGACCTCGTATACACCCCACTAAACCATTACCATCAAGCCAGGGGATCAACCTAAAAATGGGGTGTCCACCCAGTGAAGCTACCAAACAGGACTACTTGCATGTCAGACAGCGAAAGCAGCAAGTGATAGACAGAGCTAAGCATTCCACAAACAAAGAATCAAATCTAAGCTCCTCAGCCCTGCCACATCCAGCCATGAATGGTGGTGGATAATTAAACAACTCACTGGAGGAGGAAGCTTCACAAATATCCCCATCCTCAATGATGGAAGAGACCAGCACACCAGTGCAAAAGATAAAGTTGAAGCATTCACAACAATGTTCAGCCAGAAGGGCCAAGTGAATGAACCATCTTGGCCTCTTCCAGTTGTTCCCAGCATCACAGATGCCAGTCTTCAGCCAATTCAATTCGTTCCATGTCATATTAAGAAATGGTTGATAAGGACAACATTACAATAGTAGTACTAAATATTTGTGCCCCAGAACTTGCTGTATCCCTAGCCCCAAGCTGTTCCAGTACAGCTGCAGCACTGGCATCTACCTGACAATTTGGAAAATTGCCCAGGTCTGTCCTGTGCACAAACGGCCGGACAAATCCATTCTGGCTAATTACCGCCCCATCAGTCCACTCTCGATCATCAGTAATGGAAGGTGTCATCAACAGTGCTATCAAGCAGCACCTGTTTTTATAAATTCATTCATGGGATATGGGTACCTCTGGCTGGGCCAGCACTTATTGCTCATCCAAAGTTGCCCTTGAGAAGGTTATTATAAGTTGCTTTGTTGAACCGCTGTAGTCCACATGCAATTAGGGAGGAAAGGGAGTTAGGAGTGAAATCCAGAATTTTGACTCAATGACACTGAAGGAACAGTGATATATTTCCAAGTCACAATGGTGAGTGGCTTCAAGAGGAACTTGCAGGTGGTAGTGTCCCCATATATCTACCCTTGTCCTTCTAGATGGAAGTGGTTCTGGGTTTTGGAAGATGCTATTGGTGTCTTTTGGTGAATTTCTGCAGTGCATCTTGTAGACAGTACGCACGGCTGCAACTGAGTGTCAGTGGTGGAGTGATTGAATGTTTTTGGATGTGGTGCATATTAAACAAGTTGCTTTATTCTGTGTAAGTGTTGTTTGGAGCTGCACTCGTGGAAAACCCCAAGGCGTTCTATACTTATGTGAGGAACAAGAGGATGGCCAGATTGAGGGTAGGGCTGATCAGGAATAGTGGAGGGAACTTGTCCGCGAAGTCGGAGGAGGCTGTGGAGGTCCTAAATGAATACTTTGCTTCAGTAGTCACCAGTGAGAGGGACCTTGAAATTTTGTGCGAACAGTGTGAAACGGGCTGATATGCTCAAACAGGTTGATGTTAGGAAGGAGGATGTGCTAGAAATTTTGAAAAACATGAGGATAGATAAGTGCCCTGGGCCAGACGGGATATACCCAAGGTTAATACGGGAAGTGAGGGAAGAGATTGCTGCCCCTTTGGCAATGATCTTTGCTTCCTCACTGTCCGTTGGAATAGTACCAGATGATTAGAGGGTGGCAAATGTTATTCCCTTGTTCAAGAAAGGGAATAGGGATAATCCTGAGAATTACAGACCAGTCAGTCTTTCTTCTGTGATGGGCAAATTATTGGAGAGGATTCTGAGAGATAGTATTTATGATTATTTGGAAAAGCACAGTTTGATTAGAAATAGTCAGCATGGCTTTGTGAGGAGCAGGTCATGAATTATTGAATTCTTTAAGGATGTGACAAAACACATCGATGAAGGTCGAGCAGTAGATGTGGTGTATATGGATTTTAACAAGGTATTTGATAAGGTTTCACATGGTAGGCTCATTCAGAAAGTAAGGAAGCATGGGATTCAGGGAAATTTGGCTGTCTGGATACAGAATTAGCTGTCCAATAGAAGACTGAGGGTGGTAGTAGATGGAAAGTATTCAGCCTGGAGCTCGGTGACCAGTGGTGTTCTGCAGGGATCTGTTCTGGGACCTTTGCTCTTCGTGATCTTTATAAATGACTTGGATGAGGAAGTGGAAGGGTGGGTTAGTAAGTTTGCCGATGACCTGAAGGTTGGTGGAGTTGTGGATAGCGTGGAGGGCTGTTGTAGGTTGCAACGGGATATTGACAGGATGCAGAGCTGGGCAAAGAAGTGGCAGATGGAATTCAACCCAGAAACGTGTGAAGTGATTCATTTTGGATTGTTGAATTTGAATGCAGAATATAGGGTTCATGCGGGATTCTTGGCGGTGTGGAGGAACAGAGAGATCTTGGGGTCCATGTCCATAGATCCCTCAAAGTTGCTACCCAAGTTGATAGGGTTGTAAAGAAGGCGTATGGTGTGTTGTCTTTTATTGGCAGGGGAATTGAGTTTAAGAGCTGTGAGGTTATGCTGCAGCTCTATAAAACCCTGGTTAGACCACACGTGGAATATTGTGTTCAGTTCTGGTCACCTCATTATAGGAAGGACGTGGAAGTTTTGATAGAGGACAGAGGAGATTTACCAGTATGCTGCCTGGACTGGAGGGCAGGTCTTATGAGGAAAGGTTGAGGGAGCTAGGGCTTTTTTCATTGGAGCAAAGGAGGATGAGAGGTGACTTGATAGAGGTTTACAAGATGATGAGAGGCATAGATAGGGTGGATAGTCAGAGACTTTTTCCCAGGCCGGAAATGACTATTACGAAGGGGCATAATTTTAAGGTGATTGGAGGAAGGTATAGGGGAGATGTCAGAGGAGGTGGGTGTGTGGAATGCGCTGCTGGCAGTGGTAGTGGAGTCAGATACTTTAGAGATATTTAAGCGACTCTTGGATAGGCACATGGATCATACTAAAATGAGGGGTATGCAGGTTAGTTTGATCTTAGAGTAGGATAATAGATCGGCACAACATTTTCGGCCAAAGGGCCTGTACTGTGCTATGCTGTACTGTTCTATGTTCTATGTTCTATGTTAAACCAGTGGGGAGTATTTATTGCACTCCTGACTTGTTCCTTGGACTTGGTGTTCAGCCTCTGGGTAGTCAGGAGGCAAGTTAGTCACCACAGTATTCCTAGCCTCTGTGTTTATATGGTGAGTCCACTTGAGTTTACTGTAAATGTAACCCTCAGGATGTTGATTGTGGGGAATTCGGTGACAGTCACACCATTGAATGTCAAAGGGCAGTGGTCAGATTGTCTCTTATTGTAGATGGTTGTTGCCTGGCAAGTGTGTGGTGAAAAGTTACTTGCCAAACCTGGATATTGTCTAGGTGTTGTTGGAAACTGTTTAGCAATAACCTCTCACTGACACCACTTCTGCTGTTTGGCGTTGTACTTGGCACATTGGGAGATGGTTGTGATTGTTGGAGGACAGTCATCTCAGCTTCAGGACATCTTTGCAGGAGTTCCTCAGGGTAGTGTCCTTTTTCCTAGGGTGGAGGTAGCTATTACGAGGGGGTGTAGTTTTAAAGTGAGTGGAGGTAGATATAGGGGAGACATCAGAGGTAGGTTCTTTACTCAGAGAGTGGTTGGGGTGTGGAATGCATTGCTGGAGAGGGTAGTGGAGAAGGCCTCATTAGGGGCATTTAAGCGGCTATTAGATAGGCGTATGGATGATAGTATTAGGTAGGGGTGGAGGTTAAATGGACCTTGGGATTAGAGTAAAAGTTCGGCACAACATCGTGGGCCGAAGGGGCTGTACTGTTCTATGTTTTATGTTCTGTGTTCTAGAATTGAGAACATGCAATCATCGGTGAACAATGTTCAGCACCAATCACAACTCCTCAGATACTGAAGCAGTCCATGTCCAAATTCAGCAAGATCTGAGCAATATCCAGGCTTGGACTGACAAATGACAAGTGATATTCACACCACATAGAAAAAGTATCATTACTTGGCATTTAACAAGAAAAAGTTGAATCATTACCCCTTGACATTCAATGGTGTTGCCATCACTGAATCCACCAATGGGGATTACCATTGACCAGAATCTGAACTGGATTATCCATTGACTACGCTGACAAGTCAAGGGTGAGGTTTTTTTTTTTTTACCTCAACCAATCTGAATAAAACAGTACTTGTGTCACACATTAACGTTTGGTTCATTCCACAGACAGTTGTGGGGCTGTGGAATTCACTCCCTGAGCCAGTGACAAAAGTAGGGACTGTTTCAACATTGGGGAAGGAGAGTAAAGGGGATCTGGAAAGGGAGCAGGCTTTGGACCCTGCTCAGATGGAGGATGAACAAGAACAAAGCTCTGGAGGGTATTTCCAAGTTTATAATTTGGACATAATTCTTAACTATGGCTGGGTGGGGCTGTTTGCATAAATGGCTGCTGCATTTGCTTTCTCAATAGCTACATCTGCTCTTTTAATATGACTTTGACTAGCTTGGACTCTTCTGTGAGGTATTTTGTAGCAATATCAAAATGTATCTCTTCCCTTGTACCTTTCTGATTGATGATGGCCTTTCATTGCCACAGGTGGGGACACATGCCGAGCTGTTAAAAAGAGGAGGACTGTATGCAGAGCTAGTCCGCAGACAAACCAGTGAGGAGACCACCATGTGAAGGAAAGGGAGTGACAGAGAATGAGCCAAGTGGATTGCAGGCATTTTGCACCTTCGAACATCTTCATGTAAACCTACTGTAATTCCTCCCCGTCCCAATAAGAGCCCAGTATTAGGCACTGAGATTTCATTACCAGTGGGCTGGTGGGTGGAGCAGGGATTCCCTCGCATTGTTGACTGGAACTGTGCAAGGCATGCAATTCTAGATTCTGTATCTGCTCAATCAGGGCTCCTCTTGCAGAGAGCTTAGTGTACTGTAACACATTGTGGTGCATAGTGCTGATGGGTTAGGTCTGTCTCTGTAAAACACTGGCATACAGTACTAGTAGGGCCAGGTCTGTCACTGTGTAACACTAGGGTGTACAGTACTGGTGGGAACAGGAATGTCACTGTACAACACTGGGTGTACAGTAGTGATGGGGACAGGTCTGTCTCTTTATCACACTGGATTACAGTACTGGTGGGGACACGTCTGTCTCTGTAACACTGGGATACAGTATTGGTGGGGACACTGTATAACCCTCAGCTCAATGGCCTGCAGAGCTGGTCATAATCTTCCACTAATGATTATTTCTCTGCATTCTGAAACTTGTGTGAGCCTCTTACTTGGACAACTTTTTTTGTAAATTATACCGTCATCCATTGAGCCTGTGTTGTGTTTTTATGATCGACAAGAGTACAGAATCAAACAGGCTGGTTCACTCCCACACTTTCATCCTGTCAATGGACATGCAGCTGCTCTGGAGAAACTGAATTGTTCAGGAAAGTTGGTGTCACAGGATGATTTGTCCAAAGGCCCAGGTAAATGTTTTGAATGCACAGGTTCAAAGCCCCCCGTTGCTTTTGGATTATGTCTTCTGGTTCTAGATTCTTCCACCAGAGGAAACAACCTGTCAGCATATTGTATTTTTCAATAAAGTCACTTCTCATTCTTCTAAGCTCGAACGGGCACAAGCCCAATCGACTCTAACTCTCATCGTAAAAAAAAATTCCTCCATATCCACAGATCAACCCAGACATCCTTCTCTGGACTGTCTCCAATACCAGAATATCATTCCTTACATAAGGGACGCAAAACGGTTCACTATATTCCAGCTGGAATGTTCTGGGAACCTGGGTTCAAAACCTGCCATCTGAGATGGTGGAATTTGAATTCTATACAAAAAAGATCTTGAATTAAGAATCTCCTGATGACCCATGAAACTATTGTCAATTGTAGGAAAAACCCATCTGGTTCACTAATGTCCTTCAGGGAAGGAAATGTGTCATCCTTGCCTGGTCTGGTGTACAAGTGATTCCAGACACACAGCAATGTGGTTTTCTCTCAGTTACCCTCTGAAGTGGCCTAGCAAGCCATTCAGTTGTCCAATCCCTACAAAGTCTCAAAGAAATGAACAAAACCAGAAATTTCTGGAAAAGCTCAGCAGATCTGGCAGAATCTGTGGAGACTAATCAGAGTTAACGTTTCGAATCGAGTGACTCTCCCTCAGAGCTCAATCTACTACAGTTCTGAGGAAGAGTCACTCGATCCGAAACGTTAACTGTGATTTCTCTCCACAGATGCTGCCAGATCTGCTGAGCTTTTCCAGAAATTTCTGTTTTTGTTTCTGATTTACAGCAGCTGCAGTTTTTATTCAAAGGAATGAAACTGAATGGATCACCTGGCAGCCCTGTTGACCCTGCAAAGTCCTCCTCACTAACATCTGCCAAAATTGGGAGAGCTGTCTCACAGAATAGTCAAGCAACAGCCTGACATCGTCATTCTCGTCGTCTCATACCTTACAGACAATGTCCCAGACACCACCATCACCATCTCTCGATATGTCCTGTCCCACTGGCAGGACAGATGCTGCAGAGTTGGTGGCATAGTGGTATACAGACAGGAGGGAGTTACGCTGGGAGTCCCCAACAGTGACTCCGGACCCCATGAAGTCTCATGGCTTCAAGTTAAACATGGGCAAAGAAACCTCCTGCTGATTACCACATACTGCCCTTCCTTGGCTGATGAATCTGTACACCTCCATGTGGAACAACACTTGGAGGAAGCATTGAGAATGGCAAGGACACAAAATGTACTCTGGGTGGGGGACTTCAATGTCCACCACCAAGAGTGGCTCGGCAGCAGTATTACAGATCGAGCTGGTCGGGTCCTAAAGGACATAGCTGCTAGACTGGGCCTGCGGCAGGTGGTGAGGGAATCAACAAGAGGGAAAAACACTCTCGATCCTATCCTTACAATCTGCCAGCTGCAGATGTATCTGTCTGTGACAGAATCAGTAAGAGCCCAATCCTTGTGGAGATGAAATCCTGCCTTCACATTGAGAATAACTTCCATTGTGTTGTGTGACACTACCAATGTGCTAAATGGGAAAGACTTCAAACAGCTCCACCAACTCAAGACTGGACATCCATAAGCACTGTGGGCCATCAACAGCAACAGAATTGTACTCCAGCACAATTTGTAACCTCATGGCCCGGCATATCTCCCACTCAACCATTACCATCAAACCAGGGGATCAGCCCTGGTTCAATGGAGAGTGCAGGAGGTCATGCCAGGAGCAGCACCAGGCATGCCTGAAAATAAGGTATCAACCCCTGGTGAAGCTACCAGATAGGACCAAACACATGCAAATAGCATAAGCAGCAGGTGATAGATGGAGCTAAGCGATCCCACAATCAACGGAACAGATCTAATCTCTGCAGCCCTGCCACATTCAGTCGTGAATGATGGAGGACAATTAAACAACTCCCTGGAGGAGGAGGCAACACATATATCCACAGCATCAGTGGTAGAAGAGCCTAGCAGGTCAGTGTAAAGGGTAAGGCTGTAGCATTCACAACAATCTTCAGTCAGAAGTGCCGACTGGATGATCCATCTTGGCCTCCTCCAGGGACCGATTTAAAAACAAAATACAAAGCGTAGATTAGTGAGAAGCCAGAGGATTGGAAAGACTTTTAAAAACCAGCAGAGGACAATAAAAACAGTAAGGAGGGAGAAGATGAAATATAAGGGTAAGCTAGCAAGAAATATTAAAGATTGCAAAGAGTTTTTTTTAGATATAATAAAGGGTGAGAGAGAGAGGCTTGAGTGGACATTGGACTGCTTGAAAATTAGGATGGAAACATGGTAATGGGGAACAAAGAAATGGCTGAGAAACTGAACAGGTAGTTTGCATCAGTTTTCACAATGGAAGACGCCAGTGGCATACCAGAACTTCTAGCAGAGGTGAATGTAGTGGCCATCACTAAGGAGAAGGTGACTGGGGAAGCTGGAAGGTAGATAAATCACCCAGACCAGAAAGCCTACACCCCACAGTTCTGAAGGAGATAGCTGAGGAGATGGTGCAGGTATTGCTGGTGATCTTTGAGGATATAGTGGATGTAGAGAAGATCTTTCCACTAGTACGTGAGACTAGGATTTGGGGCACAACGTCAGAGTGAAGGTTATGACCCTTTTAGAACTGAGATGAGGAAGAATTTCTTCAGTCAGAAGCTGATGAATCAGTGGAACACATTGCTACAAATGGCTGTGGAGAAAAGTCATTGAGTGTATTTACGTCAGACAGAGATAGGTTCTTGAGGATCAAGGGTAACAGGGAAATGTGGGAGAATGGAGCTGAGAAACATATCAGATATGATTGAATGACAGACAGACCTGATGGGCTGAATAGCCTAATTCTGCTTCTATACAGGTATTTCTGATATAATGCATATTAATGCGAATTGAGTGTAATGTGTTTGATGAATAATGGACACTTCTGATAACGCAAACTTTCTACTGTATGGGTATAGCGATTTCCCTATAATATGATTTTCTATGGCAATTCTCTATTGTGCGAGGTCACACAAGAACACAACTATCATGTTATAGGAAAAATACCTGTATCTTATTGACGCCATAGAGGCTAGTCCAGTCAAGACAACTGTTGCAGTCTGGGATGTGTGAGGGCTGGCACTGGCATCACAATGAGCTGCTGGTCTACACTTGTTTTTGTTCAGAAATGGAGGTGGAGGGGTACAAAGAGATAGCCATTTGGAGTTGCGTGTACATAATTTGGGTGATGACCTTGGGGATGGTGAAATTTGTGAGGTTGATGGAATGGACACCTGGCAAGGGAGATGTTGGGGGATCCAACAGCATGCTAACCCTGAGGCTGAAAGCCAGTAGCTGTCATTACATTTGTGAAGCCTATGGATGGAGTGCAATGTTGGGGAGAATGGCCATGAAAGGACTCACAATGGGTGGAGTAAGTAAGCCGACTTATGAGGGAGGGAGCTGTACCTGTGCCCAGTCACTGGGCCTTCACAGGGAAACTAAAAAAAAGTCTGGAATTAAGAGTCTAATAGTGACCATGAATCCATTGTCTATTGTCAGAAAAACCCATCTCGTTCACTCATGTCCTTTAGGGAAGGAAATTGCCATCCTTACCTGGTCTGGCCTATGTGTGACGCTGGACCCACAACCCTATGGTTGACTCTTAACTGCCCTCTGGGCAAGTAGGGATGGGCAATAAATACTACCTAGCCAGTGATGCTCTTATCCCTTGAATGAATAAAAAAAGCAGCATTCTCCTCCAGTATGTGACATGTTGGCCACAAAGCCATACAGGGTGTCTATGCTTGGTCATCCTGCAACATTAATGGCATTCCCTGAGATCTGGCCTCCTACACACACAGCCAGTCCTGATGCTCGAGGTGCTGATGAGGTGGGTAAAGCCTAAGGTGTTTGAGTGAGCGATATACACACATTGCTGGCCGTGCTCCCAAGTGATGTTTTTGGTGATCATTGCAGACCCCTACCCACTGCACCTCATGAATGAGCAGGAGAGATGCTGCAGGTATTTACAAAGCATAGACAAGCTCAAGAGACAGGAACAGCCACATTCACAGTGGAACACAAGTTTATATTAAGTTGAAAATGCTTACATACCATTGATTGTGAAAGAAACGTTAAACATGGAAATATCTTCCAAATAAACTGTGGGAATAACAAGAGTGTGGTAAGACAGCTATTTGCATCAGATTTAAAGATTAACAAATAATGGATGAGTTTTCCAGCCATTGGTCACACATGCCATTAGGATATTTTCCTTCTCCTCTCCATCCACATTGCAGATGCATGAAGTTAAATGTGTGGCTCAGAGACTGGAGTGGGTGGAATGGGTTTCTGTTCAAGGGGACTGGCACCAGTACTGGGGTAGAATGGGACAGGGTGGACTTGAACTGTGCTGGGACCTGTGTCCTAGCAAAGTCAGTAACTCAGGCTGTAGAGAGGGCTTTCAGCTAATTGGAGGTAGGGTTCTGGAGAGGGGCTGCTCAGTCTTACAAAGCAAAAGGATATGGCAACGTTTCAGGGCAACTATTATTAATGATATCTGGTGTTGGACAGAGTGTATAAGCATAAAACTATAGCAGCAAAAAGGGAAGAATGGGGGAACTAATAACAAGAAGGCAAAATTAATGGCTCTTGAGTGCACATAGTATTTGAAACAAAATGATAAAACAGCATAAATCGAGGTTATTGGCTGTGATCTTATTGCCATTCTGGAAATATGGTTACAAAGCGATCAAAGGCAAGGCTAGATAAATTTTTGAACAGTAAAGGAATTAAGGGTTATGGTGAGATAACAAGGTGTAGAGCTGGATGAACACAGCAGGCCAAGCAGCATCAGAGGAGCAGGAAGGCTGATGTTTTGGGCCTAGACCCTTCTTCAGAAATGGTGAGTGGGCGGGTAAGTGGAGCTGAGTCTCAAAAAGATCAGCCATGATCTTATTAAATGGCGGGGCAGGCTCGAGGGGCCAGATGGCCTACTCCTGCTCCTAGTTCTTATGTTCTTATGTAAAGCTGGGGGCTAAGCATTCCAGGGTGTGTGATTTTTCTAAAGGACAAGAAGGAAGGGAAGGGTACTACAAGATGACATAAATGCGATAAAGATGG